CTATTTTAAAAATATATTCTTTTTTCTTGATTTTTGATTTACATACTCGTTTTCATTCATTAAGGCTACAGGAATATTTATTAATAAATATAAATAAATGCATAAATTGGAATTCATTTAAGGTTTTTTTATATCAACTAAATGAATAAAGAATAAATAAATGAAATAACGCACGCTTATCGGCTTATGCAATTGCATACAAAAAGTTTACACAGACAAAATTAAAAAAACCTTGTTGAACGAAAAGACCCTGTAGTACAACAGCTTCCCGCCTGTCGATCCTACAAATTTCAATAATTTTTATTTTTATTCATTGTCTCATCATAAAATTATTTGGAAAGAACAATGAAGAAACAATTTATTCTTGGATCATTAAAAAAACAAAAAACAAAAGTCCAAATATTATAATCAAAAATTTGTATTTTTTTAATGTCTTTTTTAAAAAAGTTCATCATCATCATCATCACTAACTGTCACAATAAAAACTCAAAAAGGAAAATTTGAAAGACATGATGCGTGTCCTACTTGTATCAAATATAACAACACTTACGCATGGCAGCTAATTTGTGTGACCCATGCTTACTGGCCCAAGGATGGACTAATGGCAACGAAAAAATTTAAGAATTGTACACAGTTGGAAGCAATATTTGGAATGAATAAGTCCTCTATGAAAACTTTATTGAAGTTGTAAAAAGATGGACGAAGGTGGTTTTGTAGTTTTTTACAAGGTAAGAACCAGCAATCTAAAATGATGTAAAGGTATAGGTGTGGCAATTAAAAAATTACGAAAGATTCTTGACAAAAGATATCTTTTTATTATTTGACTATATACGATATATATTTATTATTATTTTCACACAATATTAATGCTATGATAGTTTGAAAACATATTTGATCTTTCAATTTCCTATTATTATTAAGAATTTATGACAGTTCACAAGATCCAAAGGCCAAAAATATATTATGGTAATAAATTATGTGTCTGCGAATTTATTTGAAAAAAGAACTAAAATGGAAAAGAGAACACTGATTTTCTATATAATACTACTTGAAGGTTATGTGACATTAATGATGACAATTTGCAACGTTGTGATTTTCATAGTGTTAGTGTCCTTTATTATTATGGTTTGGAATTATAAATTCCAATAAAATTTAATGTCATCGATAAAATAATAATAATAAAGATATAAACGCGTTGCCAGAAGTGTAGTGTAAATAGTCTTGGACAAAAAAGTAGATATTCATAATTAATGTATCTGAAATATCAACAGGTCAGCAATCAGATCCACCATCTTTTATCGATGATGTGCAAATTTTCTGCAAATAAACCAAAAAATTTCATCTAGCAAATAAGTCAAACTTGGTTAACATCACGACCGTCTACTAATAATGTGAATACGATATTATAATGCCTTGTCCAAGACATTTCTTGTTTATAATAATTTATTAATTATTTGAAGTTCTCCATATAGATAATTGGAGTAATCAGTCATTGCCCAGGATTTGCTTGTTTTATTTCTAACTTTTGAGTTTTAGGCCACCACGCGGACCTTTTCTTCATAAACTCTTAAGCAACACCTTGTTATTTAATTAATTCAGATTTTGGCTTTGAATCTATTTTTAGGAATTGGATTATGCTCTATTTGCTTAATTTTTTGTTTTTTTTTCAATCAAATAGACAAATTTTATTCCTTTTTCTTTTACGAAGATTGTCGAGAACCGATCCTGTTCTAATATTTTAATTATTTAAATTAGCCCTTTGAATTTTTGATTAGATATTAAACGCTTTAATCTAAATTCCCAATTGGTTGATGGGATCATTTCTTTTCAGCATTCACATAGTTGCTTGAGATAAGTTGGTACAGTTTGTTTAGTCTTACCAAGTGTTTTTTGTTTGATCAATTTCACTCTTAAATCTACTAATTATTGCTCGTTTTCATCTTGTTTTACCAGGTAATTTTTTTTGGACCATCGGAAGAATTAACAAGTCTATTTAAATAGTAAGTATGGCTTGAATTTGTAGCCCAAGGATTAATTTTATTAATTTGGATTAAACAACTAGATCAATAAATAGTTTTCTTTGAAGGAACCTAGTCATGTGATATCTAGCAACATTGTTTTTCGAAGAAATTTCAGGGCATTTTATTGAAGAGTCAGCCTTAAGTTTATGTGTATGCTTCTTAGAGAAATGGTTTTATAATCATTTAGATTTGAGTATGACCTTGAAACAACATCTGCACCATATGACTTATTTTATCTATTCCGAAAGGGAAAAATCCATTTTTTATAATAAAGAATTAATACTGTCTGTATCGTATTTAGAAATATAAATAAAGGGTTGTAGAATAATTTATCACTTAAGAAGGGTTGAAAAGGGTTCAGAATCAAATATGAAAACCGAGAATTCGCTCTTTCAATAAACACTTCGATTTAGTAGATTAACAATACTAATTGTCTCAAACCACTGTAATCATTAATAAAAGTCTTTATACGAATTACCATCTATTGTATAAACGTCCAATCAAAGAAATGAACTATTACAAGAAGCAATAGTTAATTTAGCCGAGTTCATAATAATACTATAAATGATTGACGCAACTGTTTAGAAGAGATATAAGATAATAATAATTTTAGTGTACTGCGCATTCTTGTTATACGAATCTGTCAATTAAATATCTATTATCGAACGACAAGTGATTCAATAACTTGGTTGTTAAGAAAATATTTAATTTATTAATATAATCACAAATTAAGGAATATATCCCGCACTATTTCGCCAATGTATAGTCAATCTTTGATCTTTTTTGTACAAATCTGCCACTTTGGTATTTGAAGGAAGATATGGTATCATTTCATTACTATACTTGGCTCTTTTTATTTTTTTTTTTTTGGCAATTCCATTATTGTTGGACATAATCTATTTTGATGTTCCTTCCCATAGTGATACCAACATGAAATTTCTTCTTGATTGGCTTGGCATGCTTTGATACAAAGAAGCCAAATTTTGTGCCGTAGTTTCAAAAGTATTTTCTCTAACATTTAAACTTTTTTTACTAGTTTCTTGGTCTTCTTCTTCTTCTTCCTCGGTAAATGCAAGCAATTCTTGCGTCAAACCCTTATCCTATTCGAAACATTTTGGGTAATGGGTGTTTGTTTTTGCGCCGATTCTTGAATAATGGATACTTGACACTGATATAACATTTCGAGAAGAATATCTGACTTTCAATAATTCTATCTATGATTTGATAGAACTGACGTTTTTTCAAAATCTTCATATTTTGTTGAGTATTTTATTTTGACAAACTGCAAATCTATTTGTGACTTAATTTAATCATCTTTACGGATTGTTAAAAAATTGGATCAACACTAATACTAATGTAAAATATTGCGGCTGCAACAGCCAGGACCTCGGATTATTATAATTGACGTACAAGTACGGTCGGCAATTGTTGTATCCATTACCAGCTTAAAGGCATGACAATCCAAAGGGGTCGATCGTGAAATTCATGGTGTGCGAGCATATTCTAACACACTTTGTCGCGATCTTAATGCTGCGTTGAACATCCTTCAAATGTTTTAACAGAAACATAATGATTATTTCCGGTTTACATGAGGAATGGCAGCTGTATATAACAAGAAACCCTTTTGATAAATCTTTTAAATATTCTTAAATAATAAACTCTTTTAAGTAAAACTCTTTTAATTTCTTTTGTGATCAAGGTGCATTATACCCTCCGTATCTCTAATTCTTTTTTCTTTGAACCGAATTTCTTTATATCATAGGGAACAACCAGGTATTAAAGCTGCAGCTTGAGCACCACCATTTTTTTCACCGCCATACTTGCATACTGCAGTTGCATTAGATTTATTGCAGCAATGTGATTGAGCATTCTTTTTTGAGTATTTAATTTTTTTTACTTGCTTCAGATAAAAATGGTGTTTTTTTAGAAAAAGTTTTGGCATTAATTGAACATTTTTATAATAATAATATTTAAAATAAAGTATTTTTATTGGGAAGTGTTCTGTTAATTCTGATTGGTTAATTTATGACAAATGACAAATGATGATCATAGTAATAGTATATGGCCATTGATCATAATAGTCATATGACCAAGTCATTTACAACAAATGACAAATGACCAATGACTACATGTCATATGACTAAATGACTTGGTCATTTGTCATAAAGGGTATATGACCTTGTCATATGCCAACACTGCCAGGTACAGTATTTATGCAACTTTTCTCGATGTACTTGTTATGAAATATATG